CAGGGGCATATACAGATACAATATCATATGAAACTAGACGTATGACTTAAATCCGAAAATAAAATATTTTTCAATTCAGTTGCTCATAAAGCGCTATTTTTTAAATCCATTGTAAACACCGAAAGTGAGTCTTTAAACACGTGTTAAATAAAAATGTACTGAAATCCTTTACTGCACACGTGCTTAAAAGTATTTTTTTAAAATTTTTTTGTCCGAGCACCAAAGAAATTTAAAAAAAAAATGATGAAAATATCTCAAACTTTAGAGGCAAAAGTATTTCAAGGAGCCTAGAACGAATATTTTCAAATAAAAATGTATGACACGAAAACATGTTCAAATATCACGTTTAATTTTAACAAATAATTTTTACCTTTAATACATACTTAGTTTTATTAACTTATATATTTGTTTTATTTCGTCGCAAAAAGCATTGAAAAATGTTGTAAGAAACTTGAGCGTAAAAGGTTTTACGAATAAGGGACTCTTTCCGCACTCATATCTTAAATAACAATGCCTAACTGGGTCACTTCACATATTTTGTCGTTTTCAATAGTTTATTCTACAATACAATTTTAAGACAAAAGCCGAAATCCCTTGCACGGTGCACCGGATTTCGGCTTTCGACTTACAATTGTACGTGAACACCGCGTTACAATCGCGAAAGCTTGACCAAAGCACGCGCCGTAATGTAGACGTAACCTTTAAGAGATGTAATCCAAAAATTTTCGGTTTATATTCGTTATCACGATCAGTTCCATTTTTAAAATTCGATGTGGTTGCATATTCGATCTTCCGAGGAGTGTGATCATTTTGAGATTGACGCTGAGGAAGCAAGTAAATGTCATTGGTCCAACTGCATTAGTAAACCTTGACTTATCATTCAATCTAGGCGGCATGGTTTGGTTCTATGGCATATTGGCATACCACATTGTGATCTTTTCTGATAAGCAATTCGCGTCATAAGAAAGAATTTTACGTCCATGGGACGCAAATAAAGCATTCAAAAAAGGAAAGGAGTATGATATTCTGTCTTTATTTAAGATTACCTCAAACTTAACATAATACCGACGTTAATTTTGATAATAATTTATATACATATATATTTTTTACTTACGATAATTTATTAAAATATAGAGCAAATTCATCGTACAAACATTAAACGAATGTCAGAAACCGAATTCGGTCCACAACTTACACACATCTCTAAACAGCAATAGAGCGAGACGCTTGCCGCACCAGGAAGCGAACCTGCCACCGCAGCGCCGCCGCCGTCACACAATAAGTTTAATTATGTTCGATCTATGTTGCCAAAATAGATTTCCGTAAAAGTTAAACACTTTGTTTGTGGTCGCAATTTATTGGTAGCGGGTCGCACCCGATTTATCTGAGTTGGCTTAAACCTGGATTTATGTGTCACTCGAATGATACAATTATTTATTTATAAAACATCGTAAAATTTAACCAAAATAGGACTAGGTTCATCACCCACAAACCTGCCTATTTGCTGTAAACGGCTAATATCTTGCCTTGAAAATGAAGATTGCTTAAGATGCTGATTTGCTACAGCGAGTTAAACATCTGCATCCACCCCATCCTTCTGCTCAGTCACGCCGTGCACTAGAAGCATACGTCTAGGACTACACTTCTCACGACGCTCAGAATCCTGAGTGAGAAGCTCCACTTGCCTCTGTAAAGTGCCGAGAGCAGCCAATACAAAAGTACAGAAACAGGCAAAGCAGCATTTGAAGTAGGCAGTGCTGTCCTTTGGAGATCTGCTTGGAATTCTACCATCCTGTTATTAAAGAGCGTAGCCAAATCTTAATATACTTTCTTTTTCATTGACTCTATGGTATTAATTGTAAATAAATTAATTGGTGCGGTGTTTACTGGACGGAATTATATATCGCACACCTAGATCTAAACTAAGACAACTCAAAAAAATAATATGGAGGTCTGACAATAAGTATATTTGTTTACGTGGCAGGAGCGCGACCACTGTTGATTCAACAAAAGAAAGTTAAGGTTATCTAGCGGCTCATCCCCGAACCTTTATTGCATCTGTTATGTTGGATAGATGCGTATGATCACCGAGTATTTGAATATTGTACTAAGTCAAAACATACTAAAATTTTTGAGTTGTCTCAGTTTAGATCTAGGTGTGCGATATGCCGGCAGGAAAGAGTGTTATTCCCCCCTTTATTGTAGTTAAGGTATATGAAAGTGCAATTGAATATAGAAATTAAATATCTATATACTCAAATTATTATTTTTTGTTAGAAATTGCTCAAATGCTAATTTTCATCACTACATAATAAAATATCTATAAATGGTATTATTATAGATAAAATTATTATAATGACAAATCAAATAATATGGTAACATTTAGATTCCCCCATAAAAACTCCCACTCCCATTTTCGTCTCTTTAAGCTTTAAGTGCTGGTTTTCGAGATAAAATATAGCCTATTACTTCCTCAGAGACTCAAGACTATTCATACAATCATTTTCGCTCTTTTAAACGCCTTTCGTGGTGGAATTTTCACGTCATAATACGAACGTACCCTCCAAATTTCAAGTCTCTACGACCAGCGGTTTGGGCTGTGCGTTATCGGTCAGTAAGTACCTGTGATATTTTATTACATTGTTGTAAAGAGCTCGATGGTGCAGTACAAAGTTTGGTCTGCTATGCGAAGGTTAATCAAGTTTCGCAAAGGTTCAATCATAGGATGGGTGACAAAAAATGTATAATACAGACCTCGTCCACGCTTCGGGTGGCACGTTAATCGGCGCCGGTTGCACTTGCAACCGTCAACACCCAACCCGCTTTGGGCACACGTGGTACCCACCATTGGTTTATTCTCCCTATTCGATCCCATCCACATGGGATGCTTGTGCCCCAACAGTAAAAACGTTTGTAGGCTGGTGCTGATCACTGATACTGATACTTACTAGGTACTCTAGGTGTACGAGGCAGGTAGGTAATAACTAATATGTATCCTTTTAAATCAAATGGAGTGTGTATGTCTCTGTGTACGTGTGTATCACTGCGTATATCACTATTTTATTGTTTACCAATTTCACGGTAAACATTTGAATTTCTTGAATTCTCTATTTCCTCTGTCTTTAGTATCTCTGTTATTCCACAGGAATCTCATTTGGGACCTTAGTTTTTTATAATTTTTATCAATGTTAATGTGAATCACGTGGTGTTTATTGTACCAACGTGGCGCTATCTGTCCGCGAATGTTATTTAACTTCAAAAAAAAAAAGTTTAAGAACACTTTAGATACAAGGAACATTTCCGATTTACTATTCGTCATGTAAAATAGAAACCGGTTTTACTTTTTCTATTTCAAATACGTACTAAATAAAAATTAAAAGATTAATGCTTTCTTATATTTTCACGCGCACTATCAATAAATGAAAGGGTTGAAGTGTTAGTGGATATATGAACTACTTCCCCCACTGGTGCTAGTTGAATCTTGAAACTTACAATAAGCTGGGCCGGACCTTGTTATTAGGCCGCTCCGAGCAAAATAACGTAATTTGTTAGCCCAAGTAATAATTAACAGATTTTCCCCATTTGTCTCCATCCATAAGGAAGCTGTGCATCAGCAGCGGGCACATCCACCGACTGGGTGGTCACTGATGAGTTCTCCTGTACAACATTACTTATCCAACTGATTCATCATCTCCACAGCTACATATAAGTATATATATAATATTCATTCGTCTTATACGTTACTATTTTTTTTTTTGTTTCGTCGTAGTGTAAATGGAATGGCTACTCTTATTATTGGGTACAACATTATAAAATTGGTCTGTAATAAAAGACTTTAAATGTATTAATATTTTTAATTGTTGGAACAACAAAATGCACGACAGGTACAGATCATTATTTTCCATTGCAATATAACACTTTATGTATAAGAAATAATGTTCAATTTACCTCATGGCAACATGTTACATAACAACAAATAATGTTATTGCAGCCCTTAACATTATTATTAACTTAATATATATTTCTCAGATGCATTATTATTAATTAAAAGCTTTTAATTTATTTATAAAACAAATTTACAGTTAATATTCATAGTCTAGCCAAATTCCAAGAAGAGTAAATGTAAACAAACCAAATTAAAATTAGGGCCATCACAGCTCAGGTGACAAAAAAAACTCTTCTTTCTCACCAGGATACTGCACATAATTTTATTATATTTCAGAGTAATATTTTTAACATATTACTAGTCTGTTCCTATTAATTACTAGAAACAGACATGAAACTTTAATATTTTGGTAAAAAAATAGATAATCCTAATAAAACTGAAATTATATTTACTGACAGCCCTACAGCTAATAGACTTCAGATATTTCAAACATTTTTTGCACTTTTGAACTAACTTTCCCAATAAAGTTGTCAATTACTTTAAAAAGGAACATGTCCTTTAGTTAGACTACATTTGGTATTGGTCAGATAAATAAACCAATAAATACAAAAAATAAAACAATTGGCTTTTCATTCGTTTTTCGAAAATCGAAATCAAAAAAATTACAATGCTGTCTATTATAAAAAAATTATTAAAATCTGACTGTTAATTGTTGCTAGGCAACGCTTTATTATTAAACATTCTTCATCGAATTTGGCTGTAGTATAGTTAACAAATGGCAAATAAAAAAAAAACCTGTCATACGCACACTAGTGTAGATAAGACAGAGAAGAACAAATAAGGATGGCTTATAATAACTACACAAAAGTAATAAACAACTTAATACGACTGATTTAAGATTTGCATCAAGACATAGGTTTATCGATATACGATTCAGTACATATCTCAAACATTGTTATGCTCTTAAAAACTGTTTAAAATAAAAACAACACTTGGTTTCAACGAAAAATGTTTTGTATTTAGCACGTGGACGCTTTGTAATATTTTAAATGAACTAGTGTACATGTAACAGAATTTATCTATAGTAGTGTTATTATATGTACATAATCCCGGCCTACCGTCCGCAGCCGCCCCCCCCGCAGGCCGACCGCTTGGGGGCGCGGTACGAGGACGCGCCCCCACCCCCACCACTCAGCGGCAAGTAATCTGGAGGAAAACACACGGTTTTTTTAACACATTTAAAGTAACATGCAACTACCAAGCTAATATGTGAATCTCCGTTTGCGCATAGCAAATATACATTTTGTATAGTGTGTCTTGTTTCGATAGCCATAAGGTGTAAAATGCAAAGCACGATGTGTCCGTCTCGCTCGCACTCGACGAGGATATTGGTTGATCGGCCACAAAACATATCCTCCTGCGCAGGCGCATCGGTGTGACGCGTCGGTTGTATCTGACTGTACGTTGACGATTTGTGATCCAATATAGTCTTTTGAACAGACTATTTGCCGAGTACACTATCCATAGTGACCTTCAAAATCTACATAAACGAGAGACCTATACGCAATTTTATTGAAGTACTTTTAACACTATTGGAGTGACCGATATTATTAGTTAATTTCGGTAGTATATTAGATAATGAACTATGATTTTATCAATATTATTGCTTTGTCGTAGTATTTATACTAACTGAGCTATAGCATCCACTGTAGATAGCTGTCCGTGTATCTGCTGTTAGGAGCTCGTCAACCACACAGACAAGACGGAGAGTCTAGGTTTATAATTTATGCATTTCTAACACACATTGGAGTGAGTTTGTGCAAACTGTATACACACAGACCACATACTATTCAAAAAACGCAACATGCTACATATGGATAACCAAGAGACAGTACTCCCTTTCAATTGCATTATATTTATCTCTCCTGACCGCTTGCATAGCGGTAGAATCTGATTTGAAAATAGATTTGAAAAATTAAAAAACAGGTATTCCACGCAATTGTTATACGGAAGCAGACGCACTTGTTGCAACTGTCGGCCTGTCTTTAATAATAGCAACAGAATCGAAGAAAACATTTGTCATCAAACATTTCGCCAGACACTCTGCACACTTGTACCAATAAAACTTACCTATTATTTTTCCTAAAGATATCCGGAATCCATCTTGAGTCAAGCATCATCCTTTTTGCGACGTTTCCGGTCCAAAACACTACCTCCCCTCTTACTTCCGGCGCCTGTGCTGCCATCTAGTTTGCGGGTAGCGAACCAATGACTTTTAGGCACGAACGCTTACCGTCATTATACCTACTCTAGATGCACCAGGTAGAACTTACCTGGATTCCGGATATCTTTAGGAAAAATAATAGGTAAGTTTTATTGGTAGTTAAAACTCTCTATTATTTGTTCCGTTCGATATCCGGAATCCATCTTGAGTGATGTGTTTGTTATCTCCTGGTGAGTGCCAATGGTGACGCTATAATGTGTTGCAGGTATAAAAAGTCAAATGTAGTCTGATGAGAAAAAATAATGCATATTATAAGTATATTATGCTATTACATATATAGTACATATATTATGCTGTTACATAACAATGCAATTATAATAATTATTCAAGTATTTCGGTAATCTAAGCTAAATAAATATTGGCTTATCTGTTATCGGTCAATATCATTAACTAAGAATCATTAATTAAGAATAATAAAAATGTAAATACATAGATATCTTCTTGATTGTCCGATATATTTGCATATAATTTTCTTGATTGTCCGATTTATCAGTTTTCGATAGGACTTCCTAAAAGTATGTTCTTGGCGCCAGTTCACAGTTTCAGTAATTTATCCATCGGAAACAGTTCCAGTCAATTTAGAGATGGAACTGCAGATGTAATAGACCCTGAAGAATCTTCTACATTATGTGCTTCTATTTAGCATTTTTGAGAACAGAGTAGTTAACTCGTGGGCTCTTTCAATACAAAAATTGACCGCGTGTCCAATACATGCAATCGAATGATCATTTCTATCCAGGCTGTCATAATTACTGTTATCTGTTTTTAATACAAAATGGGACCATAAGACAAAAAATCCTTTTCGTCCCTATACTTCAAAGGTTAAAAGGGTTAAATAATGGATTCTGCGACCTTGAAGATTGTGAAATTATGCTAAATTTCCAGCAACTTAAATAGAGTCAATTCTGCCATTCTACGTAAAATTTCCATTGTACTATATACCTGAAGTCTAATATTATTAGTGCAATGTCTTCCTAACAATTCAATATTGACAGATATATTTATTATTTTATGATCTAGTAACAAGAATGTGTCATAAAGGGTTGTAGTCGAAGCGCTATTGACCCTCCACCATTACGCCGACATTGGCAGAATTTCCCTACCGGGCACTTGTTATTTGCAGAATTAATACTAGTAGATATTTATAGTCGCTCTACATTAAATCGATAGTTTCAAGATTTTCTTTATTTTATTTTATTCTGTCCGACTTTTAAATAAATTTTCTAAATTTCGGGGGATGAACACCTGTTGCCATACCTATTGCAGTATTTGCGGAAACAAATCGTCAGCCAAGACACTTTGTCCCATTTTGGAACAATCATAATGTACTTACTTGCCTTGACGCTTACTGGAGTCGAGAACGTATTTGCGGAATCATGTTTGAATAAGGCCAGCTTGCATTTGCACTGATGACGTCATGCGTTATGACCTATTAGCTTGCTCGTCCGTCACATCCATTGTCATGAACCTGGGAATGACGCGTGCTTTTGTCGATGGAATAAGTTCACATCTGGTGTACATTGGGCTGGTAGATTTAGTATTCAGGCTATGCATAATTTCTGAATCTGCCTTGTTAGTGTCATAATTACAATAATTTCCTAGATTTGGTCCCCCATCTGTGTTTATGTACGGGAATCAGTACAGTTCTCTTAGCATTTACATCTAGGCATTCCGCGAAATGAAGACTCGCGTGAGTAATTGCCTCGAGTTGAGCACTCGAACAGATTTCCTATGCACTTGTCCTCGGATGATGAGCGATTTGCGTTGCATTTATTGGAAGGTATCATGATACAACATTTACTTACCATTTTAAGTCATTCAGTACTGGGTCTGGTAATCCGAATAGGTAGTAATAGTTTTAAGCTGTCGATGTTAGTATTGCAGTGTGCGACAGTGTTATCACCCTGTTCGAATCACAAACGAGGCAAAGTCGAATCTCACCATTAGGAACTGGGCCTGTCTGAGGGACTAACCGCCTTGTACAATCTGATGCTGAAGTGCCATGCGTAGCGTGAAGCGTTCGGTTCAAACAGTGACTTCACTAAATGTTCAGTACTGATTCGGTGGTAATGGTGATCTTTGGGCAACTGTCGATGGTAGTATTGCAGTGTGCGACAGTGTAATCACCCTCTTCGAATCACAAACGAGGCAAAGTCGAGTCTCCCCATTAGGAACTGGGCCTGTCTGAGGGACTAACCGCCACGTGTAGTCGCCTCGTGCTGAAGTGCCATGCGTAGCGTAAGGCACTTCGGTTCCGACAGGGACTTACCCCTGACTTCCCCGGCACTTCCCGGCACCTCGTGACCGTGTTGGTCACGATGCACCAGGCAACGCCGAGGAAGCTCAGAACCAGCACACACTGCTCGAAGTTGAGAGACCACCCTAAGCGCTGCTATTGTGGTAGCGCAGTTGTTGTGTTGGTCTAGGCAGCAAAGTTTTTGAGTACCGATGGCAGTCCAAAGAGACACGTCAGTTGCATTAGGTAGGTTGTTGTATGCCAGTCTCAAGAACCTGTGAACCAGATGTTGTTCGGCGATACTCAAATGAAAATACTTTTGGCTCGGATATATTTTCGTAAACCATTCGTTTTGTATGAGAATGTTCGGAATACGAAAATTATTGATCAGTCGAAAAGGTTTTATTTTGACAAATCAGTGTCGTTTTAAATGAAATTGTCGGGCTTTAACATTAGAAGAGGAAATGATACAAAACAGGGTGTTTTTTGTAATCTCTAGTATATTAATTTGAGCATTGCAAACGATATTTGAAGATGGCTTAAAATCCCACGCATAAAAATATAATTTTTATACCATCACATACCTACATAGTTTAGATACCAAATGATATAGTTAAACACTTGTATTATGGAAATCTGAAACAACGAAGGTAACAACACCCAGACCAGAGACAATATAGAAAAGCTCATTATCTGCATTAACATGACCGAGAGTGGAATGCGGGAGCTCAGAAATGGTGACACCTTGGAACTGGTGAGCCACTCGCCCAAGATCCGACATATGCAATCTGGAACATCCTGATTGTTCCATAAACTTACAGATCGCATTAGATAGCCCCCTCCAATGTGTCATGTCATGCATTGTATTTATTTCTAAAGTTTAATGAACTGGTCTCATTACCATTTAAATATTGGTGTGTACTTCTGGTAATCTACCTTGAATCAACTTGCAGTTGCAACCATTTTATGCACCCCCTTGTTTTTTGGGTGCAATATACTATTATCAAAGAAGAACTTGTTCGTTCTTCCTATCAGCCAAAAGACGTCCTGAACGAGTGGTGGGGAAAAATGTTGGACGATTCAAAAGAGAAGTCTATTTGAATAAATATTATTTTGACTTTGACTTTGAACTCTGAATTTGGCAAAAATTTCTGTAAAGGCACCTCAGAAAACTTCTCCACGGCTCTGAACACATCAGTGCGTCTGCCACTTAATATTTGGAAAATATAATCCTTGTTGAATGTTGATTAGATTTTATCAAAAAGCTCTTTAGCATTAAGGTCTTTAGCAATAGATCAATCTACAATTTGTTGTAAACTAGTTCTAAACTAATTGATTCATACTTTAATTCTGTTAAGGTATTTGTTAATGCTGTAGATTGTACCATTTCTATAAAATATAACTATAATGACTTCTATTCTCGCAAATAAAGATCTTATCTTAAATCATCAATTGTTGTAGCAGAAACAAATCGCCTCAACTTATAATTTAATTTGAGCATGTTTCATCTAATTTGGTTTCACCATAGACTGGGTCTTTAACGTTATTAAGAAAAAAAAAATCCTATTTGAACTTGTGTTGATTGTTTTACTATAGTAGGTACATAAAGAAAATTATCACCAGTCGTAACCGCTGCAAGTAGGAACTGTTCAGGACCGTGGGGTCGTAGGGAACGTGATGGTGGCTGTGGTTGCCATAATTGCGGTCCTGGTATGGATACTATGTGCTATTTTGTTATGGAAAAATGCACAGGTGGATTTAGTTTTCCAGTTTTTATCATGCATTATCAAAAAATGTCACTGGTTGGGGTAACAAATCGAATGCAAATCACTTACAGTTTTTCTCGCCTCTGTACCTTACTTGCTCTCTCCGAGCTGGAATCCGACGACACTGTTCGATGAGCTCGAAGACAATAAACACGCCTGCTTCAATGCTGTTTTCTTTGTTTATTTCGCTGTCCCGTTGCTCCATCGCGAAGGGAGGTTAATTTTATATTCATTTCATTTTAATTTTAACACTAAACTATATAATAATAAGTATAATTTGTGCACATTTTATGTAGGACCGATGTTTTCGCCACGAAAAACGACGCTATAATGACGGTAAGCGTTCGTGCCTAAAAGTCATTGGTTCGCTACCCGCAAACTAGATGGCAGCACAGGCGCCGGAAGTAAGAGGGGAGGTAGTGTTTTGGACCGGAAACGTCACAAAAAGGATGATGCTTGACTCAAGATGGATTCCGGATATCTCACTCACCGTCCCCGCCGGTGCCCAGCCTGTGCCCCGCTTGTGTGGCCGCGCCATATTTCTCCAATCGCTCCGCCATCTCTTGTCGCTTGCGCTCCTCACGCTGTCCACATATAAACCTTATTAATGGTTAAACCGAGTATTATTATGTAAATACATTACTTAATAATGCTTTAGAAATTTTTAAAATCAGTCTTGTAATATTTGGATTCTTTAATTAGAAAACAAATTACAATTTCTACTGCAGCCAATGATTACAAGTACATATTTTCTACTGTACCTTAATGTTTCATATATTTACTGTTGCCCTACTTAAGATTTTTATTTGATGTCTGGTATATATTAATAAAATCAGTTAAAATCACTAGAAAGGTTTTTAAAAATGTGTAGAATTATCTGAGACCTCTTTCTGTTGCTCGAGGGCTCGCTGCGATGCTTCCAGCAATAGTTGTTGTTGTTTGTCGCGCGCGCGTTGTATCGCCTCCATGCGGGCCAGAGCCTTGTCTGGATCTACATGTACGACATTCAACAATAATTATTTTACTATGACTTTAAGAATTTATTTTAGTAAAAAAATGCTTTTAAGATCCACTTTATTCCTGCCACCCTGAGATGGGACTCGAACCCACGACCTTTCGCAATCCGGACGACTGCTCTAACCACTGAGCTACCCAGGACGTAACAGGATTGACCAATTTTTCAAGCACTTGTTATTTATATTACTACTTAGAGCAGTCGTCCGGATTGCAAAAGGCCATGGGTTTGAAGCTATTTTTAAAGCATTTTTCATTAAGAATATTTTTCAGTATAACATTATGAATGCATAATTGATCAAACATAATATTTGCACCCATGTTGCTCAGTACAAACTCTGATATTATTATTAACAATATGGTTCATATTTATGCAGCCAACATGCACATTTTTTACATAAGGTAATATAAGAGTTCAAGCAATATTACTAATTATATTAACCTTTGTGGTACTCTGCATCTTCCCGAGCTTGCTTCCATTGTTCATAACGTGGACGTAGTTTGTGGCATACATAGAGGAGAGCAGCCGAGGCACCGATGATGTACCATCCATATGATGCCAGGAACTGTAACACTGTGCATAAAAAATATATGAACACAGGCAAAGATTTGTAAAGTTAACAACCTACCAGAATCTTACTGCTTTTGTCAATATTACAGTATTTGTATGTTACAATCATTCTAAGCAAAACACAAAACTAGCACCAGTTGTTGCTTCTTCATGAACACATCTATATCAATTTCTCTAATATACATCATATATCTCAATAAATGACAACAAAATCTATAATAGAGTTATAATCAGGAAAATTAGCAACTGTTATCTGATTATTTTTCACTTAAACAAAAAGAAAGTAACTATATTATAAAGTTTGAAGATTTAAATGTAGAAACAAGCAACTTACCAAATGTTACAGGGTTCGTCATGGTGTTTTCTTGTACTATGTGCTCCTCGAAATTACGTTCGTGATTCATTTCAAAAGCTTGAAGTGTCGATAAAATAGGAAATGCACCAGTCTAAGTCCTTATGTGTTTATAACGCAAAATCTAACTAATCTTTAAAATAGGTGCATAATTTTATTTCGACACCAATGTATGTGAGATCTTAAAAATAATTAAAACAATTTTTTTTAATTTTCTAAGACTAAATCTATGAAAACTTAATCAATTATTCACGAATTCGATGGAAACAAATAGAACTTTTAAAAACTACGTGTTCTGTCAATGTCAATAAGACATTACCGTAGAGTATATTGTTCTGTGGACATTACAGTCTGACACAGACCAATAAATAAGATATATTATATTAAGAGTAATACATACGTTTTGATTTGTCTTTCATTACACTACCCAATCTATCGGGCACGATTATCGGCCGCGATTTAGGGCGGTTGGTGTCGTTGTGATTACACTGCACTAAATCGCCTCCCTAACTCAGTTGGCATGCAAACGTGGCGTTGAAAGGATGGCTCCTTCGCTCACAAAGTACCAAAAAATTGGCATAGCCCATACTTTAACTGCGGGCGTAAGCAGTAAAACAAAATGTTGGGTGAAAAATATTTGCTTCTTAATGACCAACTATGCAGTTTGAACTACTACAGAATGAGTTCTGCAAAATTTGATCATATATTAAACATGACTAAGTTTACCTTACATTACCTTACCTTATATAGCGCAAAACAGCGGTTAGCTGTGCTGTAACCTTAAAATTTTTAGCAACGGGAAATGCATATCATGAATTCATGACTTAAAGTATAAATACTCAATAAGTTTATTGTTTCCATAGGTAATTTAAAATAATATTACATAATTAAGTTAGTCTCACTATGGACCCTATCGGGCACAACAATAATATAAAGTTTATTATAGCATTAGTTTTTATTATTGTAATTTATATAAAATTAATAATTGTACCAGACACATGCAAAGGCTATATAGAAATGTTTAAAACATTATATCATATTGATATAGAAAAAGTAATAATATTAAATTACACTTAATATTATTTCTTTTCCTTTTGAGAAGACATTTTGTCTGTTAGCAAATTTCGTTGTCGTTCACTGACGTCTCACACGCACGCTGCGCAACAACCGACTGAGCGCTCTAACACCCTAACAGCGATCACATTACCCAATAAATCGGCCCTAACTCTCATCGGGCGATCGGGCGCCCACGTTCACCCGATATCGGGACCCTAACTCTCTAACTGCGATTAGACTACCCAATTTACAGTGTACCCGATGGATCGGGCCCGATAGATTGGGTGTTTTTCACTTCATTACTCATTCAACTCCCGCCAAGAAAGTACAAAAAAATGCTCCGCAAAAACAAAGAAAAACAGTAGATAATTTAAAGTAGAAAATTCGATTCTCTTTCACAAATACACATAATACGAAAGATTATTAAGTTTCACACTTAAGTCATTAACATTTTTGGCAATAAATACAAAATTAAAGCTAGGTTATAAAATAAAAATATTTAATTTTTACAAATAAAATTTCGACATTTTCTCGTCAGTATTGCCATTGCTATTCACTTTAAATTTTCCCAAGTATATGGGAACCTTTTCTTTTTATTTTACTATATGTGGCTATAATTTATCTAAATATTTTTTTATAATTAATTATATAGCTCAGCTTAAGTATAGGCAACTGCGCTAATTCTGTTGATAATTTTTTTATACATGCACAAAGATGCTTATATGGTTTAATTTTTTCAATGCGTGGAATTCGTTAGTTGTCGAGATACAACTTTTGAAAATACGTAAAATTGTTTGTTTGATGTTTTATGAACTTTGACAAATGTTTTTGTCTTAACCACTAACTTTATCGAAACACAAAGGGATATATATGCACAGAGCCTACTTTTGTAATTGTTTCTTTTTTCAAAGTTTTTGCAAAGAATTTTTCAAAGGTACAGTATTTTACTAATTGATTTTAAGCATATATCTACACTACTCGTTCATTCATTCATTCGTCACAATGGGTGAAATTTTCGACAGCTGGCAATACAATATCAATTACCCATTTTTCCGTTCATTCTGTCGTTCGCACATATTCTGTCTTTGTTTAATTTAAAGTTTAATCGTAGATATGAGGGAGAGAAATATAATAAATCTATATACATTATATAGTATAAATATTATTTGCAAAGCTACGTCCTGATTTCAGAAAAGTGCTACGCTTTTTGACGCGTCTGTTGTATGGGATTGCAATATGACCACAAAGCAATATTCTCTATGAAATATGGCAGCCGTTACTCATTTGACTTTTTTATTCAAAAAATGTTTATTCTTCAGCTTAGTTTACAATTTACAATATATCATTTAAATGAATTCAAAGATATAATATGAATTTGGTTGTGTGTGTGCAGGTGCGTGTGCGTGTGTGTGTGTGTGTGTGTGGGGCAAATATGTGACTGCGTGTGTGAATTGTAAGCGCGCGTACTTGTTTATTTTAGAATTATTTTATAAGATTTTCAATTTCATTATAATCCTTGCTTTTAAGCCATTCAACTAAGGCTGTTTTACATTCTTTTGTGGTTTTAGGATATATATTTATTATTTATATTAAAATTATCCAATAAAATTATTCTGGTTATAGGTTTTATCCTTCGATCAACAATACGTTAGGTGTTAAGTCTTCTGCCATTTTCGAGACTCTGACCGAGCATCTAGTTGTATTGTTGATTATGTAATTTAACAAAGTTTCAACCAGTTTTGTTATTTCAATAGAAAAATAATTATGCAACATTGATGCCAATTATCGAAACATATTATGTTTACAAATCTTATTAATCGAAGGTTTTATCACATCATAACAGTACTTATTAGTCACGAAGAACATTCCATTAGAATAATCAGAGCAGTAAAATACTGTTGTTATTGAGATTATTTTCGTAATCTAATCCATTTCATGGTGCCCTGGACTGGAGTATAAAATCACCCTTAAGAGACTCGACATTTTAAAAGAACACGTTTATAAAGTGCTCTAGTATAATTTAGAGGACACAGCGTGGCGCCCCTGCCAGACTGACGTCAGCCAAGCAGCCCCATATTATTTAATTGTCTCTTAACAGTTTTTATCCGACTGCAAAGGAAAGGTTGTTTCTCAAGCGTCTCTTCTATGTATGTAACATGCTTTATTTCTTCAAAACTGCTGATATTTGTCTTAGTAGCCAAAGTGTTCTTGATAAATAAAGTTAAAAAAAAAACAAATATGGCGGCTGTGCGATGACATTATATGAAATAATCTTTTTTTTGTTTCAAATACTACAATATGGGTATCAAATTAAAAGGCTCAATACAAGGTTATAATATGATTGTCATTACCTTGACACTTATAAAAATAATACAATGATAAAGTTTAAAAATGTACTTTGCTGTTTCACTTTCTGAACTAACCTGGTAATTTGTCTAACTAGAAAAGACAAATAAAATTTTAATTAAAATAAAACAAAAAACGTATTATTGAATTTAATGCCTCTGACTGCATGTTACGTATGATAAAGATGATGCAATTTTTTTTTTATCTTGTGCCAGCCTTTCCAGTTATTTGTTTTTCACGCATGCGGGTTTTTGTTTTATATTTTTTTACGTTAGCCATTCATCGTCGCTATTTCCCAGACCTATAAATAAGGGATTAAAGGATGACTTGAGAAGATTTTTGGAATATTGACTATTTCGTAACGTACTAGATGAATCGATTCATTTCAAAATTCAAGAGTGGCGCTGCCAGCCTGACACACACCTGACTTAAAAAAATCTATTATTTAGTTTTCTCATAATCACGAACGCGTCGGCGGCGCCACAAACTCTTTCAAGAGCAAGAACTCATTTCAAAGCCAAGAGTGTGGCGCCGCTGACCTTTATTATTTGAAGGTCGTAGTTAATTTTTCTATCGAAAGCAATAACTTTTCTTTATTGTTTTAGAATTACCTAATATATATTTAATTATTAAAGTATCAAAAAGAAATCATGTATCAACGCAATATATTGAATAAACTATCGCAACAGTGATATAAATAAAACCCCCGTAATGTTACAAAATATTAACTTTATTTTGTTTGGTATCATCAACACACCGCGGGTGGGTCGCCCACTACCGCTATACGTCGGGCACCGACCACCACGCTCCATAACACTTAAATCTAACACACTAGCGTTCAATTTACAATGTCACAGATATCAAAATTTAATTATGAATTTATCACATTGGCGATCGGAACAGCGTCAACGTTCTGTACACACAAAGGTTCCTCCATACAGCAGACGGTATATTGTGTCCCCGTTTGCTGCATCTCCATGTATATACAGTATATATACACTATTATTATTATAAGCGTTTATAAACTATGCTCTGTTTAATATGCGCCATATTATTGACATATATTTGGTGTCACATCGATCGTTTATTATTTTACTATTTTTTGTAATTACATAAATACACTTGAAACTAAATTATTTGCTATTAATTAATTTATCAATGCAGCCGATGGGAACACAATACCCCATGTAACCCGTTGAATAACAGAATATCTTGCTTTGTGCTTCATTTGATCATTTTTAAAGACCACAATATAAAGAGCTGCTCTATACACATATTTACATTGACTTATTTACTTGGTCTAAAGTCTTTATATAAAAGTACATAATAATAATATATCACCGACTAATAAAATCTGTTTCAAATCAAATTATTCAGAGAACTCAAATAGTTCGTTAAAAACAAACGTATCCGAATTATATATGTGTATACAAAATCAAAGCAATCTCATATTTACAAACCAGTCTTTTAAATACTAAAAGGGCCGACCTCGTAATGAGAGATGCATATACAATTGTCTAGCGCGCCTCATAAACACGTGTGTTGAGTTAATTCACCTTTTTGCAATCATCCCGGTTTCGATCGCTTCAATAATAATTACTTCTACTTTAAAAACTATAATGTATAAAATTTTATTTGGAACACATTATC